CAGGGCTCAGCCGGGCTCAGGGGCGAGCCCGCCGCGCAGGCCGTTGCCTTCGCGTCCCCAGTCGTCGTCGTCGTCGTCGTCGTCGTCGTCGTCGTCGTTGTCGTCGTCGTCGTCGTCGTCGTCGTCGTCGTCGTCGTCGTCGTCGTCCTCGTCCTCGTCGTCGTCGTCGTCGTCGTCGTCGTCGTCGTCGTTGTCGTTGTCGTCGTTGTCGACTTCGTCGTCGCCGTCGCTGTTGTCGTCGTCGTCCGCCTCCTCATCCTCGTCTCGTAGACGTCGTCGTCTGGCTGTTAGCGCCCTGGGCCGGGGGCGCGAAAGCTCGGCCTGCGTGGGCCGCGCGAGCTGCGCTGGGGGATGCCGTTCGACTTCGCCGAGGACTTCCTCGGCCCCGCGGCGGCCCCCAGCGAGGCCGCCGAGGCCCGCGCCGCGGTCGCTGCCACGGAGGCGAGAAAGGGGAAACGGACAAGGATGAGGGATGAGAGACGGGTAAGGAGGATGATGGTGATGGTGATGGTGATGGTGATGGTGATGGTGATGATGATGATGATGATGATGATGATGATGATGATGATGATGACGAGGAGGAGGAGGGGGGAGAGGAGGAGGGGGAGGAAGAGGAGGAGGAGGAGGAGGAAGAGGAGGAGGATGAGGGATAGGAGGAGGAGCAAGGCAACCCATGAAGGAAGGGGCGGAGGAGGAAGAGGAGGAGGATGAGGGGCATGAGGGGAGGAGCAGGAAGAGGAGGAGGGGGGGAGGGGAGGAGGTGGGAGGAGGAGATGTCGGAGGATGAAAAGTTCGGAGGGAGCAAGCGGAAGTTGTGGAGAGGAGCGAGGATGAGGAAAAGGATGTGAGGAGGAGAAGGAGAAAGAGAGGAGGAGGAAAAAGGAGGCGGAGGAATGAGGAGGAGGGGGAAGATGATGAGGAGGGAAGGATTGGATGATGAGAAGGGAGGGAGGAGGAAGATGAGGAGGAGGAGGAGGACGAGGAGGAGGAGGAGGGTGAGGAGGAAGGAGGAGGGGGGGAGGAAGAGGATGATGGTGATGATTGGGGTGATTGATGATGAAGAGGAGAGGAGGAGGGAGGAGGTGAAGGAGGATGAGGAGGAGGGGAAGGAGGGGAGGAGGGGAGGAGGAGGAGGAGGAGGGAGGAGGAGGAGGGGGGTGGGAGGAGGGAGGGGGAGGGGGAGGCGGAAGGAGGAGGAGGAGGAGGAGGGGAGGAGGAGGGGAGGTGGAGGAGGTGGCGGGGGAGGAGGAGGAGGAGGAGGGAGGAGGGAGGAGGTGGAGCTCCAGGAGGAGGAGGGGGAGAGGAGGAGGTGGAGGAGGAGGCGGAGAAAGGGCGGGGAGAAGGAGGAGGGAGGGTGGGGGAGGGGGAGAGGGGGGGGGGGGGAGGAGGAGGGGCGGAGGAAGATGAGGAGGAGGGGGAGAGGGAGGAGAATGGAGGGGAGGGAGGAGGAGGAGGGGGGGAGGAGGAGGAGGAGGTGGAGGAGGTGGAGGAGGAGGAAGGTGCAGCGAGGAGGAGGTGGAGGAGGAGGAGGATAGGAGGGTGAGAGGGAGGTGAAGGGGGGGTAAGGAGGAGGGGGGGGTGGAGGAGGAGGAGAGGAGGAGGAGGTGGGAGGAGGAGGAGGAGGAGGAGGAGGAGGAAAAGGAGGAGGAGGATGAGGAGGATGAGGACGAGGAGGAGGAGGAGGAGGAAGAGTCAGTGGAGCGTCCAGGATGTCCCAAGATGGTTCCACCGACGACGACGCACATCCCTTCCCCCTCGATCATTGCGCGTTAGGGGGCGGGTTGGGGGAGGGGGGGGGGGGCGCGGGCCCAAGAGGCCAAGGGCTATGTTCGATCGGGTCGAACGTCCGCTCTTGCCCACCAGGGCTATGGTCGATCGGGTCGAACGCCCGATTTTGCCCACCAGGGCTGTGTTCCACCGGGTCGAACAATTGATTTTGCCCACCAAGGCTATGTTCGATCGGGTCGAACATCCGATTTTGGGCCCAGGGGCTGTGTTCGATCGGATCGAACGTCAGCTTTCTGGCCCAGGGGCGATGTTCGATCGGATCGAAGATCCGATTTTGGGCCCCAGGGCCATGTTCGATCGGATCGAACGTCGGCTTTCTGGCCCAGGGGCTATGTTCGAACGGATCGAACATCAGATTTTGGGCCCAGGGAGCCCCAAATGACTTCCAAGATCGATGACTCACGAACGCTTCAAGATGGTTCCAAGATGGCCCACTAGGCCTCAAAGGGGCGCACAAACGGCTTCCAATGCGGCCCCTAGAGCGCCCAAGAGCGCTCCCAAACCGCCCCAAGAGCGCCCCCAGAGGGGAGCTTCGGCACTTTAGAAGGGCAGTGCATATGAACCCTGCCTCTTTTTGTTTACCGATGTCCTCCAATATGGCCCCAAGAGGAGGAGGAGGAGGAGGAGGAGGAGGAGGAGGAGGAGGGGGAGGAGGAGGAAGAGGAGGAGATGAGGATAGGAGGATTTAAGAGGGCGGGGGGAGGGAGGTTGGGGGAGGAGGGGAGGAGGAGGGCAGGTAGTGGAAGGAAAAGGAATGAGGAGGAGGAGGAGGAGCAGGGGTGGAGGAGGAGGAGAGGAGGAGGAGGAGGAGGGAGGAAGACGGCGCCGATGTCGAGGGGCCCTTTTTGCGACCCGCACGTGTTGTTAGTTCGTGGGGGGGTTTTGCGCGATGCGCGCGAGGCGGGCGCAGCCGCGGCCGCCCCGCGCGGCGGGCGGGCGGCGGCGGGCAGCTCCGCCGCGCACGTCATCTCCGCCCGCCTCGTCGCCGCCAGGCCGCCTGCGGGCCCAACCCTCCCCCCCGCTGCTTCCCGCCCTTCCCCAACTCCCCGCGCGCCCGCGGGGCCCCATATTTGAGCCCGAGAGACCCCCAACAGGCATCGAAAGGATCCCCGCCCCTCCTCCTCATCCTCCTCCCCCTTCCGCAACTTCTGCCTCCTCCTTCCCCTTCTCTCCCTCCCTCTCCGCCTCGCCCCCCCCCCCCCCCCCCCCCGCCATCCTCCCCCCCATCGTCCCCCCGCGCTCCCCGGAAGGAACAGGAAGGACAAGCGGGTGCTGGAGGCCAGCCTGGTCGACGCTGCGAAGAGGTTGTGCGCGGAGACCAAGGCAGACAGATGAGAAATGAGAAAGAGGGTGAGGGACGGGAAAAAGAGAGAGGGAGAGAAAGAGAGAGAGAGAGAGAGAAAACAAAAAGAGAGGGGGAGAGAGAGAGAGAGAGATATCACAAAACATGGGGGGGGGGGGAGAGAGAGAGAGAGAGAGAGAGAGAGAGAGAGAGAGAGAGAGAGAGAGAGAGAGCGAACCAGCGAGCGTGAGAGATAGAGGGGGACAAATGAGAGAGAGAGAGAGAGATACTGCCAACAAACAAGAAACAAGGATGCAGTAAGAAAACACATGGAGAAATACACGCAGAGAGGTAGACGCAAAGTCACATCGAGAAAACACGATGGAGAGAGAGGACCAGGATAATGCAGAGAGAGAGAGGGAGAGATAACCCCTACAACACAAAGCGAAATACATCGAGGGGGGAGAGAGCTAGGGAGAGATATGAATAGAGAGAGAGAGAGGGAGAGAGAGAGAGAGAGAAAGAGAAGGAGAAAGAGGATCAACAATCTAAATGAAGTGAGCAGAGAGGGAGGGAACTGGAGATGGAGAGAGATGCACATTTGCATCGAGAGCGAGAATGGGAAAGAGAGAGAGAGAGAGAGAGAGAGAGAGGAGCGAGAGCAAGAGAGAAGAGAGAGATATCGAGAATATAGATAGAGATAAAAAAACAAACGAGAGAGATATGAGAGAGGAGAGAGAGAGAGAGGAAAAAATGAGAACGCGAAGAGAAATTGGGGGAGGAGGAGAGAGAGAGAAGAGAGAGAGAGAAAAAAAAAAATTATAGGAGAGACGAGAGAGAGAGAGAGAGAGAGAGAGAGAGAGAAAAAAACAGAGAGAGAGAGAGAGAGAGAGAGAGAGAGAGAGAGAGAGAGACATACTCACGCAACTACCGAACGACCCTCTCCCAGCCAGGCTCGCGGCTCCATGCGATCTGGCGTCGACCTCAGGGTGCGCGCGACGAAGTCGGGGCCCCCGTCCATCGAGGTTGTGACGCGGGGCCACAAGGCAGACGGGGCGCCGTGTCGACGAGGGGGTCGGAGGAGAGGCCCAGGGGGGAGGGCGGCTGAGACGAGGGGAGCTGGGCAGCGAGGACGCACAGAGGTGGGTGGGGGGGGGCGAGGTGGGCGAAGCGAGGGGGGAGGCCGTCGTCGCCGTCGTCGTCGTCGCCGCCGTCGTCGTCGTCGTCGTCGCCGTCATCGTCGTCGCCGGCATTCGTCGGCGTCGTCGGCGTTGTCGGCGTCGGCGTCGGCGTCGTCGTTGCCGTCGTCGTCGGTCGCCGTCGCAGTCGCTGTCGCCGTCGTCGGCGTCGCGACTTTGCAGCTGTGCAAACGGGCCTTGGAGAAACCGCCCTGCCCTTCCCCCATCGGCCCCGGGCCGTTCGGGGCCGTCCGCGGGGCTCGGGGTGACAGATCTGCGGGCGGGGTGGGGCGCCGACCCCTCGGGGCCTGCTTCCGCCGTTGCGAGTTGCCAGCAAGGGCTCCGACGGCTGCCGCACTGGCGACCTGTCCCCCGACGCCCGGCTGGCCTTGGCCTTCGCCGGTGAGAAGCGCCTGAAGTCGTTGGCGGAGGCGCACGAGGTCCTCGCCGCGCGGGGATGGGAGCGAGACATCCGGGGAGGAGTGAGAGGGAAGGGTGGGGTGGTATGGAGGGGGCAGAGGGGGGTTAGTCTAGGCCCCGCCCGTGGGGTCGGAGCAGATGGGGTCGGAGGATCGCGCCGCGTTGCCGACGCATCGGCGACGCGGCTCGACGCGGGGCCCGTCTGTCTCAGCGCCAACGGCGCCGATGCACAGCCGACGATGCATCGCCGATGCGTCGGCGATGCGTCGCCGATGCATCGGCGATTCGGCGAGGCTCTCCGACGAAGTCTACTCGGCAGAACCCGCCGACAGGTCGGGGTCACGACGGTGCGCAGGAACAAGCTTGCCGTCGCCGAGTGCTACCTGCAGCGCCAGGCGGACTGGTTGAGACTCCTGATCGGGATGGCCAAAGAGCGCCGCGCATCCAGCGTGTCTGTGTCTTTGAAGGACTTGTTGTTTGCTGCTGGATTTCGTCGCCGTCACTGTCGCTACCTTCCCATCGTGCTTCTCGTAGTTCGCCCCCTGCCTGGCAATTCCCCGCCCCGCGTTCCGCACCCCCCCTTCCGCCGCCGCCTTCCCGCTGCCCGACGCCCGCTGGCTGGGCCGCCACCGCAGTCGGACCGAGGTGTAATGTCGAGGTCGGTTCCAGGAGGGCGCCCTTATGTTCTTCGAAATTGTTGGGTTTCCTGTGCATCCTGGGGGGGTGCCCTTGCGTGTTCTGTGTGTTTGGCTGGCGGAAGGTCTCGTGTTCTTGCGGGTTGTTTGTTAGGCCTTGATCCGGTTGCATTCTCTCGCGACCTTCGCCGGGGCGGGCCCCTTGGGGCCCAGTGGAATGCTTCCCCGCTCCTCGCCGTGGGCCCTTCCGCGGCGGCCTTCGGCCCTGGGGCCCCGAAATCGCACGAGAAAAACAGCGCCCCGCCCCCCTGGGGCTCGTTTTAGTTCGCGCTCGAAGCTCCGGTTGAAAGCGCCGCCACAGTTCGACGAGACCAAGGAATCGCTGAGGATGCACACGGCCAAGGGAGCGCTGGCCAACTCGGAGCACGACGACGTCGAGGTGATGGTTGCCACTCTGCGGCTGGTTGTCTCGATGCCCGGCGTCGGCGCGGTCCGTCGGGGCAAAGCCACCCCCCGGGCGCCGTTGCATCCTGGCCTATCCAACGCGCCCCCGGCCCGCCACGCTTGATATCCAGAGCCATCCGATGCGCCCGAGGGCTTGGCATCCATGCTTTGGAGGCGCCGCTGCGAGTTCGGGCCCCAGCCCAGCGCCAGATCGCAATTTGGGCCCGCGGCGGCGACGGCCCGCCCCCGCACTGACCCTCAATCCCCACGCTCATTCTCACTCGCCAAGGAAATTATGGGACGGGAGGCGGAGGGCGGAGGAATGATGGAAGCGCGGCAACCATAGAGGTCTTGTGCTGGGACGCCGTTTTCCCGCCCGTCCCGTTGCTCTCGACCAGCGCGACGCACATCCTGGCCGCCCTGACTTCGCACCCGGCCGCGCAAGAGGTGCTCGCGCTGGTGGACGAGCTCATGATGCCAGACCACGCCGAGGTCGCGACGTTCACGCACGAGTTCGACGGCGCCGCGGGCAACGACAGGCCCCGCGACGACGACGCTCAGCATCGCTTAACCGACCCCTATCCCCACGCCCATCACCCTCGAGCCCCCCCACGAAAATACCCCCCAGTTGGGTGCGCAGCCCTCGAAACCAGAAGGTGGCGGCCTATATCCCCATCTAGGGGGGTAAATCGGCCAGCGGGGCACAGCCCGCGCCGCTGGGGATGAGGGTCGGATAAGCGATGCTCAGACGCCGACGAAGCGCCGCGATGCGAACGAGTCCTGGGGGCAAATGGCAACGTTCCTTCCGCGGGCCATGGGCCCCGTTGAAACGATTCGGGGGGCGTTTCCCTCGGGGCTCGCGCGCCTCGCGGCGATCTCCCGCTTTGCCGGCCCAGGTTGCAGGCCCACTTCGCATTCGACAAGTTGTACGCGAAGCCCCACGTGCACTACGAGAAGTCGCTTTGCCAGAACCACTCGGAGCCTCCTCCTCCCCCTACTCCTCCGGCGCCGCCGCTAGGTCGAAACCCGAGTGCTCGGGAAGCGGGTCTCCATGGCCCGCGGCAGGAAGGCAGGGTTTCCGCGCCTTCGGATTTCGATCCAGCGGCGAGCCTAGGTCTTCGCAGTCTCACGCTGGGCTTCAGCAGAAATTGTGACGACCTCGGATGTCGGCCGAGCGGCGGCGATGACATGCCTGGGTTCGGCGTCGCCATTTTCTGTTGGGCCCGGGCGCTGGATCGCCAAGTGTCGTTCGCCCTCCGTTCTGGGGCGCCCTGGCGAGGAGCATCTACCAGGGAAGCGCAAGACTCGAGTGCTCTGGGACCCGGGTCTGTCGGCGCATTGCTAGCGCGTCCTGGATGGTTGCGGCTCGAATTTCAGGTTCTTTTCCGCGGTGGCCCCGTCTGGCCAGCCCGAGCCCCCGAGCCCGAGTCTTACGCCCCCCCGAATCTAGCGACCCTCCGGACAATATCGTCCATGGGGCTCTCCCTTCTCAACGATGTCTTCTGCGCGTCGCTGTTCCTCACGCACAACGGCCACTGGCGGCGCGTTCTCCACTCGGTGAAGGCCGTGGTCGACAAGGATTTCGACGTCTCTTTCGCGCCGCGGCCTGCCGCCTGCGTGGGCTACGGCGAGCTCCACAGGGACCTCGTGCTGCGGTACGCCAGGACACGACATGCAGCTGGGAGGTCAAATGCAACAACAGTCCATCAGCAGACGCCCAGCCAGCATTTCGCACCCCCGATTACTACCACTTGGAAACTCACGAACCCTGAGACACCCTGGGCAATACAAACCTTGACGCCGCGCGTGCTCTCGGACTGGCCACGGTTTGTATCGGCATATATTCATACACACGTCTAAATATGTATGTACATATAGATCTACGCTACACCGTGCATGCATCTTCACCAATCAGTGCTTGCACTGGAAGGGTCCCAGTGGATATTGAAAGATTTGGTGAACAATTATGGCCGATATGTGGATCGACCTCCATGCCGAGTGCAATACCGATGTCACTGCGTTGCCGATCTCAACACCGATCTCATTCAACCGATCATACTATCGATCTCGCTACCGATTTCACTGTCGATACCACGGCCAATATCGCGATCGATCTCCGAATCGGCCTCACCATCGATGTCACAATCGATGTGACGATCGATCTCGCTATCGCTTTCACGATCGGTCTCAAGATCGGTCTCTCTCATTATCGATATTACCATCGATCTGCCTGGTGGTCTCACTATCGATCCCACGGGTGGTGGGTGGGTAGGTGGTGGCTGGGTGGTCGGTGGGTGGTGGGTGGGTGGTGGGTGGGTGGTGGGTGATGGGTGGGTGGTGGACGGGTGGTGGGTGTGTGGTGGGTGGGTGGATGGTGGTCGGTGGTGGGTAGGTGGTGGGTGGGTGGGTGGTGGGTGGGTGGTGGGTGGGTGGGTGGGTGGGCGGTCGGTGGGCGGCGGGTGGTGGATGGGCGGTGGGTGGGTGGCGGGTGGGGCTTCAGGGATGTCAACGGGCCCGGGTTCTGAGGGTGCTTTAGGGGTCTGGCTGTAAGAATGTTTCAGGGGTTGGGCTTGGGGGGTGTTTTAGAAATTGGCTCTGAGTGTTTTTTCAGAGCCACTTATATCGTTTACCTACCCACGGAATCCGTGCATCAATGATACTTTCGGTCCCCCTCTCCGGGCCAACTGCCATCTGACCTCTCTTCGCTGTTCTGGCCCTGGCGTCGATCGGAAAAACGTGGTCGAGCCCCCCTCGTTGTGCCATCTTGGAGATCGTCTGGGGCTGTTGCGAGGATGGCAAAGCGCGGTCAAGTCCCTCCCCCCTCGTCCCGCGGGAGGAAGGCCGATCGAGGTACTTGCGACAAATGTCGGACATCCACTGATTGGGGTCTTCCCCTGCTTCGATGGGCGCGTCGTCCCCAGAGGACACACGACGACCGCCGGGCCCATTCGACCGGGGCGGGCAAGCAGAAGGAAGCCGCGTGGGAGGAGTTCCTTGCCATATTCAACGGGTCGTGGTGGCTCGAAGGTCGTCTCGTGCACCACTGCCAGCCAGATGGGACCTGTTGCCCCGGCGACACACGTGCCGAGCTCAGCCGGGCCGGCGATTTCTCCTTCTCCTCCTCCTCATCCTCCTCCTCCTCCTCCTTCTCCTCCTCCTCCTCCTCCTCATCATCATCATCATCATCGTCATCGCCCTCGTCCTCCTCCTCCTCCTCCTCTTCCTCCTCCTCCTCCTCCTCCCCTCCTCCTCCTCCTCCTCCTCCTCCTCCTCCCCCTGGGGGAGGGGGGCATGATGCGTGATGCGGTGGCTCGGATTCTATTTCCCTACCTAAGCTCTGCCTCAAAGGGTTCTTACTGTGTGAGCTTGAAGGGCGGGACAGTGCAAACCGCCCCGGGCGGTTCCCCCGGCATCCGCCCCGCGTTTTCCCCAGTTGCGCCCCCCTAGCTCAGCGTTGCCTATCTCATCTTAGCTTAGCTTGTTACATGTTCGCATACTTTAGTTTCATCTTAGCTCAGGTCTATCTGAGCTTAGCTTATATGCGTCATAGCTCCGCTGAGCTTTAGCATAGCAGAGCACAACATAGCATAGCAAAGCGTAGCGCAGCATAGCGCAGCACTGCATAACATATCTAAACATATCATAACGTAGCACAGCGCAGCATATTAATAGCATAGCACAGCATAGCCTAGCATAGCGCAGCACATCATACCACCGCGCAGCATAGCATAGCACAGCACAGCAGAGCAGAGCAGAGCATAGCGCAGCTTAGCATAGCAAAGCATAGCCTTTCATAGCTTAGCACATCACAGCGCGACATGACACATTATAGCTTACCATATCTATCATATCATAACATAACATAGCGTAGCAAAACATATCGTAACATAGCGTAGCATAGCGCAGCATAGCATGGCACAGCATAGCAACTTATGCTACTTTCCTAGGGGCTCCAACTTTCTAGGTAGGGTCGCACTGGGGTGATTAGAAGAGGCAGCTCCAGACCACGGATTTGCTTGACGATGGTAGCCCATCTACGTCTCGTTTCCCTCGTGCGCGGCCCCCGCGCGCCCATGTCTGGCTGCCCCTCCGGCCGCCCCCGCCCTTCCCCCCCCCGTCCCTGGGCCCTCCCGGGATCGCGCCGTCTCGCCGCGGCGTCATTTCGGAGTCGTTCGACAGGGGGCGGCGGCAACGAAGGTGCAGAGATCGTGGCGTCCGCGAAGGAGCGCGCTGTGCTGGCCATCCTGAGGGGACCCCTCCGGAGCAAACCGATAAAGGCATCGTCGAACAAATGGACGAAAGTTGTCCCGGGGTTCGATTTCTTCGCCGTGGCCGAGGCCCCCCATCGGCTGTTGAGCAAGCTGGTGACCACTGGCATGGGGGCCTTGCAGATGGTTTACGATCGCCACGCCGCGAGGTCGGCGGCGAGGTCCAATGGGCCCGAGCCGGATGAACTCAAAGACGAGTTCAATTGGCACAAAGTTGCAGGCCCGTCCCCACCAAATGCCTCGCGGGGACCTGTGGGTAGAAATCGCACGCGTGGGCGCGACTAATGTTTGGCACGTTTTTGCTACCGCGGTTCGAAACGCCAGTTTCGAACAGAGTTCGGAACTGGTTCGGGCCCGCTGTTCTCGGGCCGGACGAAACGCGGGGATAGGGAAAGGGAGGTTGCGACATCTGCCGCATGCAGCTGGTCTTGGCCCCACCGAGGGGCCCGTTCCTCGATGCACGGCCGCCTCTGGCGCCTGGAGGCGCCGGGGACATCGGCTACGTGAGCTGATTATCAAGCCCCCTTTATTATCCCATCCTTTCGCCCGATCCGACGTTCGAGGATGTCCCGCGCGAAACGCCCGATGCTTTATTGGGCCCAGTTCGAACCTTCTCAGATGATCTCTAGGGTTCTCGGACGTATCCTGCTTTCTGCTGTCAGCGTTCACCCGCCTCTTCCCCCCCGCCTCGCTCTCGCGCCATACTTCCCGAACTTGTCGTCATTGGGCGGGACGATGCCCCTGCCCCCCAGGGAAGGCCCGTCGTCTTCGGCGCCCCTCTTGAGAGGTCGTCGACGCGATGGGCTTGCCCTGGGGGGGCGGGGAATTCAGTTCCCGAAGTTGCGGTTGGTCGGCCCCCTCCTCGTGCGAGGCGGCCGGCTTCGCAGGCTCAACCTGATGCTCGGGTCGGAGCAAGTTCGTCATGCGCACAAGGATCGACTGCGCGCAAGAGTGACCTGTCGCCGGGGTGACCCATGGCGCGGGCCCAACGGGGCCCCCCCGATCGCCAGACGCGATGCGTCATTGGCGTCTGGCGCGTGATTGAACCCCCTCGGCCCCCATTGAGCTGCTCGCGAAGGGTCATTCTTACCCGAGGCCGCTCTTGCGCGCGGTCGAAAGGAGTTGCTCGTCATCTGCGAGCCGGGCAGGGCACTCACGCTTCATTTCATGCGGTGTGCCGAGGGCCAACTACGACACAATCGCCCGCTCCTCTGTGACTTTGCCAGCCGCTCGACATCGCCAGTCACAGCTTGCTCGCAGTATTATTCAGCTCTGTTGCGCGGACATCCAGAGGCTATGAGAATTGTGTGGCAATCTCGCGGGCATGCCAGTTTCAACGAGTTCGCGACCCAGCTGCCATGCGAGGTGATCCGGCTGCGGAGAATCATCCTGGTGGCTGCAGCGAGTCTGAAGCGGCGCCACGGCCACCTGGCAAAGCCGCCCTACTCGTTCGCTTCTCTCGTAGACGACCGAGCGCTCGATCGCGCCGCCGAGTTCATCGCCGACTTCCACAAGGTCAAGGAGTGCTGTCACCGCCCGGGCTTGGCTCGGGATTGCAGGAAGGCCCCCGTGGATTCAGTGCTGAACATTCGCAGCGAGGAGTCGTTGGCGTGGATATATACGCGGTCGCTTTCATGCACGTGCAGCATCGGCGACACCGAGCGCCTCCACGCGATCAACAGATCATTCAATACGATGGCGAATGGATGTGCTGGGTGGTCAAACTTGGCTGGCAACGCGGTGCTCCAGAGGGCGAAGTCGTGCTGGAACCAGAATGCCCAGCGCGCCCTGGGCGGGAAGATGCCGTCGAAGCTGCGCCAGCTCAAGAGCCTGGAGGACCAGGGTAGCCAATCGAGCAAGAAGCGCAGCGGGCGGCAGTTCGATGGGTTCGAGCTCTTCCGGCAGGACAAGCACAAGAAGAAGGATCTGGATGGGCACACCGGGTTCTCGTCCGAGGGGTGGGCCGTCGCGAAGAAGAAGTGGGGCGAGCTGTCGGACGACGAGAGGTTGGCGTGGCAGGAGACGGCGATGAGGCGCAACGCTGCCGTGGTTGCCAAGCAAGCCGCCGATCGCGATGCAGCGACGGCGTCGCGGCGGAATCAGCCCGGCGCGGCAGTTGGCGCCGAGCTTGCTGGGCGCATCGAGGATCGTGGCGGCGCCCCAGCGGGTGAGGGCGACAGCC